ACCTCGACTTTGTGGCAGCTGGTGGAACTGCTTGACTTCGTCCTTGTAGCAGAAGCTGTAGCTCCACCAGCCGCTCACATAGTAGATGCAGTTGCCCTTCATGCCTTCGAGTAGCTCCCACCCGCGGTCTGCTGCGCGTATGAGCTCCTTCTCTTCCTCGGCTTTGGCTTCCTCGGCTGATGTTGTGTCATTCTGCGGTACCTCTTCTGGTATTATGGGTATGCTGCATAGGTAGCGCTGTCCGTGTAGCACAACTGCTTCGTATGTCTGTTCGAGCGCATCGTCTACGGGTGGTATATTCGCGGCCGGCTTATCGCGCTTCGAGAGTTCCTGCGTCTCTTGCGAACCGGGCGTAGCAGAGCTCGAGCTGGGTGATCCGTGGGAGAGGAGCAGCGTCGCATCGTTCTCGGTAACGAAAGTGTCTGGCCACAGAACCTCATACTGGGTGTGCTGTTAGCAGATGTTGCCGCTGTCGGGGTGCGTGGCGCGTCATACCTGTGGGAAAGCGAGCAGATCGTCGAACACGCTGAACGCATGCTGGTTCGCCAGCGCAATGCGCAAAACGGCCGGAAGTGCCCAAATGCCCCTCATTACGATAGGAGGCCCTAGGATTTGGGAAAGGAATAGAATAAAGGCATGCGCCGTGGAGCTGGTTGCGGAGTTCTTGGTTGCGGCCAGATGTCACTTCCGCAGGGCTAGACCGCGTTCGGCAAAACCCATGAGAGACACACGAGGGCGCTTTCCCCGTCGAACATTGTTTCACGCATCACAGCCGCATCCCTTTCGCATTCAGGCACGATCTACTTTCCAAGGGTAAGCTTTTGAGTTCTGGTAGCAACAATGGCAGGAGCATATCAGGCTCGATATGATGTCATCTATTCGAGCTCCCATATAAAGGCTACCTGGGCGGTCTCTTGAGTTCAGGATCGTACTACTTGTTCTCGACGAACATGAGGCGTCTCCGATTCGACGCGGGGTAGTATGCGCAGCCGTGGCAGTGTTCTTGACCGGTCAGCTTGCTGCCACGCCCTCTAGCCGCGACCATTGCGCATGTGGAACCATACTCAGCTTAGAGTGTTCCTCCCTTCATTATTGCACTCATCAAATCGTTGGATGTGAACATGTTCCTCTCTCCCGACAGCGTGCGCAAGAAAGGCGCGGCGACATATCCCGGCCTTCCACTCCAGGGAAATCACCTTCGAGTCGTGCGACTGTTGCCTGGCAGATGGACTGAACCGATTCGCTGCGAACTGTCGAATGTCAATATCGAAGTCGCGAAATATCGGGCGTTGTCTTACGTATGGGGCTCACAACGTGTGACACGATCAATTCGACTCGATGGCCGTGTTTACCCTGTTACGGTGAATCTTGAGGGCGCACTAAGGCACTTACGGGAAGTGTACAAGGACGGACTGGACCTATGGATCGATGCGTTGTACGTATGATATCTGGATTTTTCGTCGGTCTGTATCTAACCTGCCGACGACTAGATGCATCAACCAGAAAGATGGCGAAGAGAGAACTCATCAAGTTCAGTTGATGGGTCTAATCTATAAAGAGTGTGAAGAATGCATAGTATATCTAGGAGACAGCCTGGACGGTATCGGTCCCTCTTTGACCGAACCACCACCCGTCTGGCACTTTGAAGAAGGCGTTACCCCTCAGTCTGGCAAGAAGAAAGCGAGCCGGAATCCAGGGGTCAACGAGGTTTTCTCGTTCTTTCATGACCTTTCTCGCCCTAAACATCTTCACACACAGCCGGTCTTCGATAATGACGCAGAGTCATCGAAGACAGAATCATATCACGACCCACCTCAGTTTCGGTTACAGCTATTCGAAGCTTTGAGGAAGTTCACGCATGCACCATTCACACCCTGGTGGACTCGTATCTGGGTCATACAAGAGGTGACATCACCTCCTCGTGTTGTGATTACGTACGGTACAATATCTGCAACCTGGAACATGTTTGCCCTAGCCGCAGACAACTATACTCGTCATAGTGCCGCTTGCTGCAAGGAAGTTATCCGAGTCCTGCCGCTGGATCAGCAGAAGGTCATCGCTGGCAGCTGCAAGAAGATCATGGGGATCTATAACCTTCGACAAAGTACACTTTATCCGTCTACACGAGTATCGCTTGGGCTGTTGAACTTGTTGACGCAGTTTCGCGACCGTAAAGCGTCTGATCCCAGAGACAAAGTGTATGCTCTCCTCAGTATGGCTTGGACTCCCCCAGGGAGGCCACCATTAATACCAGACTATTCGCTAAGCGAAAGAAACGTTTTTTGTAAAGCAGCGCTCGAGTCTATCTACACGACGGAATCACTCTCGATGTTCAGCACAGAGCTCGGGCGAAAGTTCAGAGACGATCTGCCTTCGTGGGTTCCGGATTGGGGAGCACCAGCAGGGCACACATATACAGCACGCGCAGAAGCCATTGGTCTATATAACGCAAATCGAGAAAAGGCCACACCCTTGACGGTCAGATTAATCGCAGAATCTGCCTTGAGATTAGGGGCTGCGAAGATAATGACTGTGGGAGTGTTGGGGGAGACCATGTTCGGAGACGATGCAAATTATACCCGTCGGACACTTATTAAATGGAGGCTCCAATGGAAGGCGCATGCATCTATATCGGATGGTGGTTTTCCTTGGCTAATGCCGGCATTCCTCAATTTCACAAAATCATCTGCGCAGGTGTGATACATCTCACATATGATGGGCTGCCGTGTGGTATACGCACCATACAAGCTTACGACGCAAGCACTTTCGAGAGTTGGGTAGATCATTCGCGAATGTCGCCGCTTGGAAAAGCTGACGACACAGCCATTACCGATGACACATCCACGCCTATGCAACTGTGGAGGCATTTCATGTTGTTGTGGCCAAATTACCCGGGTCCACACGTGCTCGACCATTTAAATGACCATGAGTACTTCCCTGTAGGTCTCGACAACATCACCTTGAATAGTCTCCACGTAATCGCTCGGTTACGTAGACTTCTCAGAGATTCTGACACCGAAATGAAGTTCGATTTGCTTGAATACTTTGAGGGATCTCGGCCACGACTTCATGCTCCATCGAAAGATCTCTTCATTAAAGTCCGGCAGGTACTTCAAAAAACTTTCGGACCCGACATACATCTAAACATTACTGAAAGAAGAGGCCTCATTCCAGATATTGAGAATTCGATAGGTATAGCAACGCTCTCGCGGCGCCTCATTATTGGCGACAATTGCTTGCGGTCGAGCTTTGTCACTGGCAATCATTTCTTGGGACTAGGCCCAGCGGGGACGGTCGAGGGCGACGAAGTATTCCTCTTGACTGGTGGAAAGACACCATTCGTCTTACGTCGGCGTGATGATACAGATGACACGATTCCAGGACCAAAATACGAGATCATCGGTGATTGTTACTTGCAAGGATGGATGGATGGCGAGGGAGAAGGCCTTGCGTTAGATGATTGGGAAGACATAACGCTCGTGTGATAGCTCCAGCAACGCTACTTGTTTCGCAATGGGAAACTCTTGTTGCTGTGAACTTTGTAAGGACCGAGAATCTAAAATGCATCGGGGCCTCTTAACTGCAGTTGCGCGAAAAGATCTGACGTACAGCGTACGATTAACGACTTGTCGCGACCAGGTGAGTGTCTGCGAATGTGTCCACGAACAACAAGATGCCAAAGCATAGTAACGATACATGCGAGCGATAGCCACTATGCCCCTATCAGATTATGGGCCCACTTAGTAAGGGTCAACCCAAGGATGACGTTGCCGACGACGCGTGAAAACACGAAATCGCGTGAGCACGTGATCTTGATGCTGCCGCCTCACAGCATCTCAACAGCACCCGCGTAAAGACTTCCAATCTTTTCAGAAGTGGTCTCATCTAATAAATAACGATTTAGAGCTTCTTATTGTGTAGTGCAGCGTCGCAAACGTCAGAGACGTATTGCATCTCTCCCTTGTTCGGAGTGCTGCCTTGGATGCACGAGGGAGGAGGTGCCGTCGGGGCCCACTTGGAGGCGTCCAGCCAATAGCGGGGTGAGCGCGGGCCACCCAAAGTCTCACAACTCGCGTCGCCTCGAGGGTCTGCTTCCTTTCACTTCCGACGTTCGTGTTCGGTGTCTGCGTGGTTCTGCTAGCAAGGTCTGTCTTCGCCTCAATTGCAATCGCGTAGCCGTGGTGTCCCTGGACGTCTTCATGCTGACAGATTGCCGTAGAGCCTGTTTCTAGGGCAACCCTTCGCATAGTCTTCTCCTCCGTACCCGTACGCGCATGCCATCAAGGCAAACATCCGCCTCACCGCGCTCACTACATCTACATCACGCGCTTTCTGCGACAGCGTCGCTGTAATATATATCGCATTACCGTTCGAGCCGACTCGCTTTTGCCATCGTTCCATTCCATACAAGTTGAAAAGTGTCGGAGACTGAGGCCTGGAAAAAGAAAGCACAGGGGCCACACAAGTAAAGACGCGCTGTTTATCAAGCCGGTCTCTAGCAACGCCAGTTTCAGGCAGGACAACGAAGGACTGGTCCCACCCAGTTGCATTCTCAAGAAACGTTCATTCACGAGTCCCAGCCGCTCGTACTGTTGAAGAGACATCGACACGTCCCATTAAGTTGGAGCACGTAGCAGAGGTTCTGAGTCGAGCTCATTCCAGAGTACCTGTTACCTGTGCCGACGTCCAACCAGAACGCTCTCAACGCGACCATTTCCATCCATTAAACGCACGGCCCAACAGCGTGCCTACGTTACCTAGGTATCGCTCACTCTACTAGAAGCGCAACTACCACCAGCTCGCGCTAGACCGATATCGCACGTAAAACGAATCCCCGCAATTGCCGCGTATAAAACCACGAGACCCGCCTTTCAGTCACTCGCTCGATATCTTCAGTCGCCCCCCTCCCAACTTCCACGGGCACGCCGTTCGTCTGGTCCTAGGTCACTCCCCACAAAGCGCCGCACAATAAGCTACGGAAAGTCAGTCTGGTACCCATTATGGAGGCCGATCCGTCTCAGCAGACACAGCCTGCAACTCAGCAGGTCCTGGATCCACGTCGACTAGGCAGGAACAATTCGGGTCTCAATGACGGTGATATTGCCGATGTCTTGGTCATTCTCCACCCAGCTACTCCTACAGCCATTCGGATTGTCGAGCAGACAGCGCAAGATCGACCCGAGCATGTGCTCTTCCGCAATTCACTCGATTCCATGAGTAGTTCCATCACCGATGTTGAGGAGCAGGAGACATTCATCATCAACGCTCCAGAGGGACGACAAGGTACCAGCTCGCGGGCTGGCGCAGACCTGGCTCTACGCATGTCATCCGCGAAGAGGTTGAAGTTCAAGCCGCTCGGATTTATATTTGGACGCAATCACCAGAGCGCCGATGTTATCTTTGGCCAGGACTCCGGCAAGAGGATAAGCAACCAACACTTCCGCATATATCTGAATGCGGATGGTCTTCTCATGCTCGATGACATGTCCACCAATGGCACCATAGTCGACGATGCACTCCTGAAGTGCAAGGATCCACGCTTCAGTAAGATGCGGATGCTGAGCTCGGGATCGATCATCTGTATCCAGAACTCCAACGATGCAGAGATGATCAAATTCATCGTCCGGGTACCGTCTAGAGTCAATTACATGGACCGCTTCCGCGACAACCTGCGCAACTTCATCACGGAGTGCACTCCAGACGCTGGGGACGCACAGGGCAAGGTTATTCAGCGAATCACAAAGCAATATGGTGGCCCAGCGATGAAGTGGGATGGAGGTGATACCTATAACATCGTCGGTACGTATCGCTGCAATAACACAACCAATAGCTGCTAACTCTTCCCAGGGCAGATCGGTAAGGGCGCCTTTGCGACCGTTTACCAACTCGCTGAAAAGATGACTGGAAAACTTCTCGCAGCTAAAGAGCTGGAAAAGCGCCGATTCATGAAGAACGGCATGCTAGACAAGAAGATCGACAACGAGATGAAGATCATGCAAGACCTGCGTCACCCAAATATCGTCCAGTTCGCAGAGTACCACGACCAGGGCGATTATCTCTACATCATCATGGAGTTCGTGCGGCAAGGAGATCTACAAGGCTACCTTAATAATCATGGATCCATGGAGGAGGATGTTGCGAGGTCAATGGCTCAGCAGATCCTGAGCGCGCTTAGTTATCTGCACCGCGCCAAGATCACACATCGCGACATCAAGCCTGACAACATTCTCATCTCCGATCTGGATCCTTTTACGGTCAAGCTGTCCGATTTCGGACTTTCAAAAGTTGTCAAGCACGAAGAGACCTTCCTCAAGACTTTCTGCGGAACTCTGTTGTACTGCGCTCCAGAAGTGTTCCCCGACTTCAACGGTCAATCAAAGGGAACTAAACGTCGACGTGGTGCCAAGACGTACCACTCGTATAGCTCTTCCGTGGACATATGGTCCTTTGGTGGTGTCCTATGGTATGCGCTATGTGGCGAACCTCCGTTCAGGGGTATCGCTGATGCTACCGGCGAAGCCATGTTCAATAATATCATGAAATCGCCCCTCGACCCGACACCGCTACGCAAGGCTGGTGTGTCCCCTGCTTGTATCGATCTTCTTACTAGTATGCTGCGAACCGACCCTGCAGAACGTCCAACCGATCGCGACTGTCTCAACCATCCTTGGCTTAAGGAAGGCACGGAAATTCTCGCCGACCCGACTCTTCAGTCCATTGCGGAAGAAGACGAGCCTGAGGAGGCCGAGCAGCAGCTGTCGCAGCTCAGTCTCCAGGAGGAGGAGATCCCGGAGTCAGATGAAGACGGAGGCATTCTGTCCGATGAAGAGCTCATGGGCATTGTCAACGAGCGTCAGCCAAAGCGAGTTCGCGCCGATCCCCTGTACCCGCGCAACCAGGTACGTGATCGTGGCGACTCAAGCGTTGAGCCGTCATTTACTTCCTCACACCTTGTAAACGAGGAGAGCTTTCAAATGGCCCCAACACCTAGGCAACCTCGTCTGTTTGGTGAAATTGGCCAGTCAGCTTTGCAGAGTTCCGGCGTCTTGAGCGCTCATGCCCATGACGCCCTGTCGCAAGATGGGTCTGTTCGCCTTGTCCAAAATGATGGAGCAGGCGAAACGAGTTACACCGCTGGTCAGTCGGAGTTTCAGGGTCCTTTCACTGCGCCCGCCCAACTAGAGCGCGGCTTTTCCTCGCCTAGCCTTCTTGGTACCGAGTCTTTGGTACGAGATCTCAACATGACCTCGCCGCACTCACCCGTATCCAGGACACAGAGCCCGGTCATGCCTGCGACCCCCAGGACCCCGGAGGTCGTTCAACACAATTCTTTGGAACAGTCGTCCAAGGACTTCAGTCAGATTAGTGAGCCAACTCCGAGAGCACGACCTATCAATCGCCAGATCAATCTTCCTTTGACTGCCTCCTATTATTACGATCCGATGGACCCGAACACGCATAATCTGGAGTACGCTTCCAGAGTGAGTGGGTTTGACTTCGTGTCCAATGGCCGCAATTCCAACACCGAAACATCTGCATATCCGGACACAACAGCAGCTTCGGACGCAAGTGCGCAGTCGACAAGATCAAGCATTGCGAGAGCACCATCTCCGGCGGCAGCAATCCCTTCTGTTCCAGCGGAGCTTGATATCCGTCCACCACCCCGGCGACTGGGTAAGCTCATCGCAACCCCCGACTCCTTCGCACCCAACCTTACTCTCAACATCGATCAGAGTAAGACTTCTTGGGGCCGCTTGAGCAACAATACGATCGTGTACGAACACAAATCAGATACTCGCGTTCCTAAAACAGCTTTCATAGTGTTTTTCTACTCGTCAGGTGGCCAGACCCAAGAGACAGTGGATGACCTGTCACAACAGGGCAAAGATTGGACCAGCTTGGAGAATTTGAACGTTGGTATCTGGACTTGCGCCACACATGGTATCTCCATAAACGGCAAACACTTGAAGCAAAAGGACGACAAGGGGCGTGTTATCTACGGACATCTACACACTGGTGACATCATACAAGTGTACCACGATGTCCGCGGAATCGAGTGCCTCAAATTCCGCTGCGAGTTTTATCTTGGAGCTGGCAAGGAGCCACGACCGGCGGGCGACAGCTTCAGCACCATGATTGGCAGCCGGCTGTCACAGTAAACATGTCTTCGTCGAAGCAGAATTCATACGCCAGCGCCTATACAACACAGCAGCAATTTCTCATTTCCTGGCCATTTTCATTCTATTCGGGTTAGCGGGCGTTGTTGGCTTCTGTACTACTACGACTATTCCTACACATTCTCTTTGTAATGGCATCACCTCGGTGTTGGGGCTCCAAGATCGGGCAAAATCGTGTTCTTTTCAGAGTGAAAGCGTACTGTTTGGGTGGTACATGGTCGATACAAAGCGTATTATTTCGCATCGGCAGGGAAATTGTGGATTGGACTGAGAGTGAGAGTATAGATAAACTGTGTATAGTGAAATGCCTAGAAAGGCAAGAACATTAAGTAAAGAACAATATGAGCGAAGCAACTGCCAACATACCATTTTCAACTTCCATCTTGCACTGCACTTCTCGGTGGATGTATGGTGAGGGTCATCATGCTTTAAAAAACTCGGTCAAGCTTGCTCTCCGCGTTGCGTTGGTGATTCAGACGAAGCTTTTGCACGACACAGCTTTCCGTGACTTCACAGCACGTGGTGAACAATCGGCAGCTAATCATGAACTTGGGCCAGAAGCTGGTGTTTCATGGACAACATATGGTATTTGCATAGCTCATTTCCTCTAAACAAATTGGCTCTGGACCTTCACTCTCTGGCGAGCCCTTGTCCTCCTCACTCTAGCAATACCACCGACTATTCCAATCAAGGCCGCAGCAACACTTGCTATGGCCCATGGGCGGTCAACAAACCACAACACCACAGCGACATCCGAACCATGCCATGAACCGCCGGGTTTGTGGCCGAAGAAGGTGTACTCTTCCGAGTAGAAGATTCGTGGTAGAACGAGGAAGGAGGTAGGGTCTGTGCAAGATAGGTTAGTTACTGAGACCTTGCTCCTTCACAAGACGAAAGTGGCTGACTTACCAAGATCATTCCGTGCCTTCCACTGTTTACATTGCCCATCAGGACATGCCTCGAACCATTCCTGTAAGATTGTGCTCGTGAACTGCGGTCCGGTTGTCCAGAAGATTGTGAGGTACGGGAAAAGTAGATTCCAGTTGTGTGTAACAAGGCCTTCTGTCATCTTCTTCACGACCGGGTGTTTCGCCGCTGATGCCATCAAGTCGTTGTTGACGCCCAGTGGCGAGGCTTCTGGGAACCAGGCTGGGAAGTCCAACAAGGGGTCTAGTGAGCGTCGGCATGCCACGTCTAGGTCCATGTATACGCCGCCGAAGTGGTAGAGGGCGAAGTATTTCAGGGCGTCAACCTTTTGGATCTGAGCATGGGCGGGCGAAGTCAGCATATGTTTCAGTCGCAGCTTATACATGGAGAGTACTGACAGGATATCTGTAACCATCGTATGTCGGTAGAAACCAGGCGTATTCGTTGGACAGGAACTCGCGAGCGCTCGTTGCATTCCACATGCGGATTTCGTAACTGGGGTTGTGCTCGCGACAGAGTTTTGGCGACCCAAATCCAATAGATGGGCCTCCGCTAGAGCCTTCATGGTTTGGGTATATTCTCTCAAACCATATGTAGTGTATCGTGCGCGGGATCTTCGATCCGGTGTAGGTAGAGACATAGTCGGACTCCAGAGGTTGCTCGTTACGCGCTACGGAATCGTTCAGAGCCTTAGCGTAAGACTCAGGGAAGTCGTCGAAGGTGATCTTGCGGCGCTCGATGTAGGCTTGGAAGGCATGTTGGCGCCTGAAGATACTGAAGATCTTTAACAAAGCGGCGGCAATGACGATTCGAATGAGGATTTGGCGGAGGAACATCTTGTTCATGCTGTCGAGATGCTAGCTTCAATAAGCAGGAACAAAGCCCTTATGCATGAGAGACACATCGACCTTCCACCCTCTGCTTCGAGTAAGCGCCCCTGTGTCAAAGTTACTCTGAGCACCGAGTAGTCCTAGAGACACCGCCCCAACGCTAGTCTCGCACATACTATAGCATCAAATCATTTTGACCGTTGCGCCCTACAGGTGACAGGGCGTAAGATGAAGTGTTGATCTTAGAGATACGAGTTTCAGGAGAAGAGCCGTGGGTAGCATGCCAGAAGTTGCACATCCTGGACCCATACCGCGGTGGAGTGATGGGCCGAGGGCCACATGAATCTGTTGTCAGTGCCCAATAATACACCGAGCATGAACAGAGAGAGGCGGAACGTGCTACCACGGCCGTACCCAGAGCGCAAACTCCTCATGCTGGTTTCCATCCCCGATCTCAATGAGAACATGAGCTTTGGTGACCACTAATTCGCTCGCGGTATGACTATAGTGCTACGGCTTACGTGCATATATCCTGACTTCCTTTAGCACTTCCTATCAGAGATGGAGAAGCATAGGTTTATTCGCATTGCGGTACTTGCCAGCGTCGGACCGAGCGACTAATGTGGCCAAGCTTTACAAGCTCCGGGTATGGTTCTCATGTTCACTTCAAGCATTTTGAGTACGGAAGCGGTGTTTTGAAACGTAGAGCGGAGCTCGACCACAGTGGCTGTGTGGCCTAGCTGCCTGCATAGTCCAGCCTAGCGGGTTAGCGTCCTTCGAGCGGAGAGGTTTCTACCGTTGTGACAGCACGGATAGGCCACTTGTGTTGAGATCCCGCCAATTGGGACTCGACCATCGTTCAATGACTGTCCAGATGCACCTCAGGTTGGATTCCAACTGGATGCAGCGGCTTGCCGTTATCCGGTGTTAGCAGAAGTGGCAACGGAAAAGCCCTTTTTCGCACTCCACCGCTATTTCCACGATTGATTTGCTAGATGCCACAGTGTATATCAACCTTGATGTTCTTCGAGTGGCTATCCAGTGAAGCGAGACGGTGCTTCTAAATGCAGAAATTGCGCGATACCTTCGAGTATGTGGAGACTGGGCAAAATCATCGCTGTTTTTGTATATCTCAATTCACCCTCATCCAACTTGCGATTGCGATTTTCACTTGGACATTCTAAGAAACTGACGACATGTTGGAAAGCACATCGCTGTACGAAGAAGTCTGCTTCTTCAGAACGGTAGGGTCAGGCCCTAGTCCAGGTTCGGGGTTATCCTAGTGTTTATGCGCGTTGAGAGTTGTCCATGCAATGATTGCAAGCTCTTTGGGGAACTGAAAGAAGACGACTTGCTGCGCCACAGCGGTTTCAAGGTGAGAACAGCGGAAAACTTAGTCAGATGGAAATTACTGCTAGTTGTGTGTCGCACGTGCCAGTTTTAAGCGTAACATATATCCAATAGCGGAGGTGGCCGATGTCATCTATTCGTTCCTGACGAGAATGGAAACCTGCATATCCGCTTAGGGGATCAGCGCACTCGTGGCCATGCACTCATTCCAACGGGGCTTCTTCTTCAGGAAATCGATTCGGCTCGCTTTCTACGCTTGACGATACTGGTATGACTCGCACGCGATGTGAGAAGCTGTGTGCAGAGCGGATGCGTCAACCGGCGAGTTCTGACGCGGCCCCGTATTCGTCAGTTTCGGAGGACCTTAGGTTACTAATCAAACAAGCTTAACTGATGCGTGGAGACAGGAACAACAAGATCTCGCTGATGTCAAGGTCTTGTACGATACAGGGGTTCTGCGTTGTACGTTACAGGGAGTTTCCGTCGCGGGTCATTCATTAGATGTGCCAGGAAAGACGTGGCTGCACATTCCGGGAAAACGTTTCCCTTCGCTAGATCACCGCAATGGCCGGTACAGTTTAGCTGGTTCGGCAACTTCAGCTGAGGGGACCGGAGTTCAAGTCTAAGTGTTGGCGATCGGATCGTCGCGAGACGAGCGGGAAGCACGAAGAGATGGGCCCAGGGAGTTGGTGCAGCGTCGGCGGCCTGATGCGTGGCGTTCAGCACGGGGCCAAGGCAGACCCCGTAGTGGATTTCAAGACCGGAATGGCTTATGTAATCTTGCAGGCACTGTCACGGCAAACTCCGAGGTTATTCGCAGGCATGGTCTCATCACAACCTTAACATCGTAATTGGCTACGTTCACTCGGACGGCCGCTAAGCTGCGCGGGGCATTATGGTGTGCTAAGTACACATGTAGATTCTTTTTGTTGTCAGCTATCCTGTAGGTGCTGGTCACCCACGTGTGACGTGTAGCAACACTATGGTTTGCGCTTTCCACCTTCCCCGGTCCTAATACACGTAAATGAAGTCTTCGTTTTTCATGTCCGTCAGGTCAGAAAAGCCGTTATCTTGCTCCTGTCTCTGATCTTGTGCCTCCATCTCCACACCCTTTTGTGTCATTTCTTTCTTCTTCAGCATACTTTCGTCAACCCTGACTGCGCTCTTGCCCAGTTCTTCCCTGCGCTTCGCATGCCTCTTGTTCAACAGTGCTAGGTAGACGGGGATCAAGAGCGCGATGATAGCTACGAGTGCGAACATGACCAAGTTGGCGATAAGTCCTGGCCGGTAAAGAGGCGCGTCATCCACCGAGTATAGCAGCGGGCCGATGACGTTGCCTGTTGCACGCAGTTAGTGTCGTCTCCCACCAGGCCGTGAAAAGATATTACTTACCGGTACACATCCCAATGAACACCATAGCCGACGTGCACTTCTTCTTCGTGTCACCGGCGGTGTTTTGCACATGCCAAGTGTATATCAAAGGTGTAATAGCGGCGAGGCATGATACAAGGTAGTAGCCAAAGAGTAAAACGCCTTTGTGCTGGCGCGGCACAGTCAACATCATGATCGTGCCGATTATGGGAAGGATGGCGACGAGGGCGATGGCAAGACCTTTGCGACTCCAGCGCGTTGCACCCCAGGAAGAACCCAGGATGCAGACAATTTGAATGACACCAAAGGGTATGTTGAACAGGATGGATTGGAAGTTGGTGTAGCCGAAGTCGCGGATGATGAGGTTGCCAAAGGTGGAAATACCGCCACTTGCTATGCTATGCACGGAGCGAACATCAGTAACAAGATTGAGATATAGAGGGCCATTACTCACGATATTGCGATAATGGCAATGAACCAACACCAGGTCTTGAGGTCAATCAA